AGTAACCAATATTTGTTATATTTTAGTTTAATTTAAATCCTAAGATGTGGATTAATTGAAGAGCTTGATTCTAAGTGATCGAGTCCAATAGATTCCGCTCTTGTATTAAGAGGGTTATTCGAGAATTATTTACCAATAAACGCCTCATCTAATATCGTAATTCGTTCGGTAATTGATATAACAATTCCCCCAACTGAAATCTCCAGAAATTGTTACTTTATTTCTGTTCGGGACTCTTCCGAGTCCACTTCTGAATCTCGATAGACTGTTGTTTATGGAAAAACCCTTTCCATTGCAATATTTAATAATAATTTCCTTGTTTTTCAACTTTCTTCTGCCTTGTGTAAAATGAGATATTCGGGATCCGAGCGGAAATTTGCAGATCTTACGAATATCCCACGCAATTTTTGCTGGTTGGATTGAAATGCTCGAAAAGCGTTCTCTTTTTTTGCATTAAAAAAGATGTGTTTGTTTATACTCCAACCATTTTCTGGTTCTCGGGCCACGTCTTCGGGTGCCCGCTGATGCGCACTGTAATATCTGCAATTTCCAATGCCATGTATGCAGATTTCTGTATTAAAAACGACCTCCAAAAGCCCTAAAAAAAAGAAAGAAATGGAGACAATTACGCGCGTAACAATTTTCCGTTCTATTGTGTTTCCAATGTATTATTTCATTTTTTTTATGTTCTGTTTGTGATATTGAGGTCAAATGTCGCGAGTATTGCTTCTGTCAATTCGCCTTTATTTTTTAATTTTATTTTTTATTTTTTTAAATTATCTCGTCCGGTCGTGATTTACGAATTTTGTAGTCTCTTCTCCCAACATGTCTAACAGGAAACGAAAATAATTTATTGCCAATGATGGATGCCTCACCATTTTACTTCCAAGCTCGCCTAAATTGCCCTTCTTGCTGTCCCCGAGTGTTGAAATAAATCAACTCCGATATTAATAACGGGTAACAAGTGTTGAGTCGTCAGCTGGGATCAATAGGGTTGCGTACAGCTTATCGGTCGTTCGTCTGCCGCCTGCTGTTGGCTGAAATTGTAAATAGCCGTGACGTTGAATCACGTGACACGTCAGAAAAATTGACACTTCTTGCGGTCCGCACCGGAGATTAATACTGCCCCCTATATATATATATGTGTGTGTGTGTGTGTGTGTGTGTGTTTATGCTTTATACCTCCCGCTACACTTTTATAAGAAATTATGTAAAAGTGTCCTATAGTTGGATTGTCCCGGGCGCTAATATCTGGCCAGTATCCTATATTAATAAGCATTTTTAATATCCTGTCCGACACTTCACAAAAGGGACATCTGTCGCCCTGACACTGCCGATAGTAATAGGTTCATAATGAACAGTTGTCACTCTACTAAACACCTGTCTTTCTCCGATGACGTCACGAATGTTCCTAGTAACTTTCGAAAAAGATAGGCAAATCAATGTCAAAAATATTTTTTCCGGTATCGTCGGTATATTTTGTACCGTACGTAAATAGTTTCCGTGTTGTTAGAGAGAAAGCGAGCAAATCAACTGCAAAAATAATATATATATATTTATATTTATTTATTTTCCGGTGTTATTTATAAATTTGAAGACAAGTGCTCGCAGTACGTCGAAGAAAAATGGGCGAATCAAGCTGGAAAGTATATTTTTTTCCGACGCTGTTTATGAATTTGTACGTATAATGGCGAGTTCTTTAGATAAATAAGAAGCGGCTCTTACGGCAATAAATATTGTAAAGAGTTTTTATTGTTATTATTATATCTAAATATGCAGTTACCGAGAGTAAAAGGTACGGTTTGGTGCCAGGCTGGGTGAAAAGAAAAAGACTTTCCAATCACCCTCGCTAACATAATCATTTCTTCCCTTCTTGTCTTAGATCCTTCTCCCCCTCTTCGTTTCCCGGCAACCGAAATGGAAGCTTCCGAGTGTAATCGGTTTGCGAGTTTTTAGTTTCAAGAAAAGAAGCAAAGAGAGGGAAATAGAAATGACTAAATCGTTGCAACGGCCATGGCTCAAGTATTATGCTCCTAGAATAAAGCACGGCGTAATTCATAAAAATCACCAAACTATCCGTAACCGATGCAATCTTTATATATATATATATTGAGTTATATCTGACGGTCAACTTCCCCTCTGTGCCATTTTCGCATTTTCGAGTGTCCGCCATTTTAATTAGCGCCCGGGCATTGTCCACTCGGTTGATCTCATAATCGATTTGATTAAATTCCAATCTAGTCCATCAATTACTTTTCGACACGTTCCGTTCGACTAGTTGGATTCACGCGACGGATCTTCTATCGTAATTTTTAAAATTGCCATCTCCATACCTCGTTTCTCCGGCTGCGGATCTTAAAAGATACAACCCTAAACTAGAGCCGTCGCCAGGAATATTAAAGAGAGGTCGTCTCGAAGGGAAATAATATAATACTACAATGGATCGAACATCAAGAAGGGTGAATCGATGTGTGCGTAAATAGCATTTTATGTAAAGATTTACTTGTTAACCCAATATGTTTACAGTTTAGCAAATGGGCCATTTTGTAAAAGGGTTGTAAAAGTATTAAAGTCCAAGTGCAATTTTCTCTGATAGACTTCATATAGTTAAATTATCTAAACGGCCAAATAATTCGATTGAGTGAAAATAATCAATTTTCTACTTTTCATTAATTATTATTTTTACCGTCTCTCCTAGGAGCGTTTTCCTCTTGCTTTCTCCTTTTTGAAATTTTATTTCTCCACTAAGGCGCGGGCTTTATCCGTTGCTCCGATGACTATCTACCAGACATTAAAGTATCCGCTGGGATCTTCTAATTTTAACCTCGCACATCACTCTCTTCTCGATGAAATCAAGAGCGAATCTTCTATATTTATCTTGTAAACCGGGATAAATCTCGATTCCTAATTTTTGTGGACTACTTGTTCGTAATTAGGAGCGCAAACTGGGCCAGCTCGTCCAGGCCTGCCGTTAAGGACGTCGTTCGACGTCATTTGCATATATAAAGATGAGGGGCGAAGGATTTTTAAAAGTGCGATCACGTCAGTGGAAAATTCTATATCTGGCTACCAGTTTTTTTTTTCCGTACAATTTACCTATTCGCTCTCCGGGGAGTTTCGTAATATAGAGTTTAATTTTCCACTTAAATTGTTCTAATTAATTTATTCTTTATATCAGTTACATTAATCAACTTCATTATTTCCAACGATTCGCTATCTTTTCATCTACGCATTGTACGGCATTTTAATAACGTTATTCTTTGATTTGCATATCTTTTTATAATTAAGATCCCTCTTCTTCCTCTTAACCTTTATTTAAACAAAGATATATTAACTAAGAATATATATTTTTTTCTTAATCTATTAATTGTTACTTTAATACTGTGACTTCTAATTAAGTTTTCCTTGATTATAAATTGATATAAAATTGCCTTTTTTTCCGTTCATAATGAGCAATATTGCTAAAATTATCCTATTTTATAAGCCACACTTCCCTGTTCTTTCGTTTTTTTAACGTTTCGTTCCGTAAAATAATTTCTAAGCAAAGACAATGACTAGTTTATCATGGCCTCTAACAGGATCTCTCGATGATAAATCGCCTAAAAGTGATTATCATTCTTTTCTTTAAGTATATCATTCGATACTAATAAATTTGTCTACCTAAGAAAAATACTATTTCCGTTTCCTTTCTTTCTTCCCCCCTCTCTGTTCGAAGGTATCGGACGTTGATCTCTGCCATTTTAAAATCATGAATAGGAAAAAATTATCAGCTCGAAGAGTTTTATACTGTCACATCGATCCGAAAAAATCCGCAATTGTCAATATAGAGGACTGATTTGAAGCTTTCACTCATTGTAGTTCTATCGGATAGTACTCAATAAAATCCATGGCATCATATTTGGCTCATACTTTTTTATGAGGGAAAGGAAGGAAAAAAAAAACCTCCTTAAATGGCTTTTAGAAATGTTCTAATAGCAAAGTTCGTACATTTTTTAGTTAAAAGGTGAAATTAACCGAGATACTGTATCTCTCTTCCTTCCTTTAAAATAAAAATGAATCAAGGTACAGTACGTACAGCAAACATAGAAATGGATTTACTTAAAAACCGCACTCCTCATTGGCCAGAAAGTTGTCAAAATTACTTTTTGGAACGGTTCGGACGTTAAAAAAAAGTAAAAAATTATGATTTTTTTTAATGTTTAATGAGTAATGTTAAAGGGTAATAAAATAGTGATAATGTGTAGGCCTAATGTGATACTGCATATTCAAATTAATAATTGAACATGAAGCACTGATAACAGCAGATTTTAATTAAAATACGGAGATGTTATGAATGATAAGAGATTTTTTAATATATATATATAACGTTTGTTTGATATTAACGCATTAAGAAATGTAGAATATTCTGAGTTTAATTGGCAAAATTTGGGATATGCTCCTGCGATTCCTTTAGTAAGCGTGTGTATATTTTTACTTGTCAGCGTGTTACAACAGTTGGGTTTCTCTGTATTAATTAAATGACATCTTATAATATTTAAGAATATAACAATATTTGCTTAAAGTGTCGACGACTGTTCCATATAATTTCTTTGTAAACTTAACGAGACTTAAAGGTTTGCTGATCTTCCTATCTTCACAAACAAAAAGTCTAATTTTTGTATTCAAAACCATGAAAGCTATTGCCGAGTTTCAATCTTAAATTTTAATTGCTTTAATATAGCTTTATAATGAAAGAAAATTAATTGATATTCTAGTGAAAATCTAATGAGTATCCGAAGTTTTGTTAATAGCAAAGTTTTAATATGGGTGAATAAATCGTGTCTTGAATTTTCCTCCACTTGTAATGTTCTTTCATACAAGTTGCTTGCAACGTAACAAAAATACATGGTTTATCAGCGTAAACGAGCGTATCAATGAATTTGTTTGCAACAATCTTTAATGTATTAAATTTGGAAGAAAATCCAAATGTACTTACATCTGTTCGAACTTGATTTTTTCAGATGCATTAATTGTCCATCGAGCGAGCATCATGGAGCATCGATTAGCCATCACGACGTTCTGTGTCGAGATTGATGCCAGTTTCTAATTTATTTGGAAATAACCTCGAATCATGAATCCCCCAGGTCAACCTCCGACGAGCCACGGTGAAATGATGAGCATGATGGGGCACCATGCCACCATGGGAATGAGCCCTCTTCAACCTCATCAGCAACAGACCCATCATCATCAGTCTCCTCATATGGCAAATGCCGGTATTCGTTGTTGTGCTGGCTGCGGAGTAAAAATATTAGATCGTTTTTTGCTTCATGCATTGGACCGTTATTGGCACAATGGTTGTCTCAAGTGTTCTTGCTGTCAAGCGACGCTGGCAGATATAGGAAGTTCGTGTTTTACAAAAGCAGGAATGATATTGTGCAAAACAGATTATATCAGGTATTTCAATATTTTTTATTTGTTTACATTTCTTTAATTTTTCCCGAGATTGATGTATTGCCATGTAGAAGAGACGAAAAAAATTTGCAATAATAATAAAAAAAGAATCCACACGTACACAACACTCTCTAGTCGACTTTAGACAGACCTTATTCAAAGAGATTTCCTTTTTTTTTTCTAATCATATCAGCCATACTTATATGGCATTAAACTGAAGAAGGTTTATCGATTTAGTAAATACTCTTAATTAAGGTTACGTATTAATCATCATTACAGTTTACGCACCGCTACATCACCAATCATTACGACAAGAAAGAATATTCTGTTAAAAATGCATTTGCACAAGGCATTGTTTTGTTAATTTACACAACTCTTCACTTAATCGAAATCTTCCACAACGAAAAATAGATCTAATTCTTCACTAAATGTTTCCTCTCTGATAAACATAATTATTGGCTATTTTGTAATTTATAGTTTTCGCTCCCCCCCTTTTTTTTTAAATGTTCGCTTTATGATTATTGTTATTAAATCCCGAATTATAATTAGAATAAAGGACGATAAAACTAATTAAAGAAATTCTCGATTAGAAACTATTTGTTGACTGTGTGTGTGTGTATATAGCCTATATAATTTTTTTTAATAATAATAAATTTGTTTGAACTCCTTTAAATGTAAGGAAAGAGGAATTATTTGAAAGTTGTCGCGAGGAAAAGAAGAAAAAAAAAAAAGATTTCGTCAATTTAAAATTCGTTCAATTTTTTATTTTTTTAACCCAAGGAAAGATCAGAACCATTTATAAATTTTCTCCCCCNTGTGTAGGCCTAATGTGATACTGCATATTCAAATTAATAATTGAACATGAAGCACTGATAACAGCAGATTTTAATTAAAATACGGAGATGTTATGAATGATAAGAGATTTTTTAATATATATATATAACGTTTGTTTGATATTAACGCATTAAGAAATGTAGAATATTCTGAGTTTAATTGGCAAAATTTGGGATATGCTCCTGCGATTCCTTTAGTAAGCGTGTGTATATTTTTACTTGTCAGCGTGTTACAACAGTTGGGTTTCTCTGTATTAATTAAATGACATCTTATAATATTTAAGAATATAACAATATTTGCTTAAAGTGTCGACGACTGTTCCATATAATTTCTTTGTAAACTTAACGAGACTTAAAGGTTTGCTGATCTTCCTATCTTCACAAACAAAAAGTCTAATTTTTGTATTCAAAACCATGAAAGCTATTGCCGAGTTTCAATCTTAAATTTTAATTGCTTTAATATAGCTTTATAATGAAAGAAAATTAATTGATATTCTAGTGAAAATCTAATGAGTATCCGAAGTTTTGTTAATAGCAAAGTTTTAATATGGGTGAATAAATCGTGTCTTGAATTTTCCTCCACTTGTAATGTTCTTTCATACAAGTTGCTTGCAACGTAACAAAAATACATGGTTTATCAGCGTAAACGAGCGTATCAATGAATTTGTTTGCAACAATCTTTAATGTATTAAATTTGGAAGAAAATCCAAATGTACTTACATCTGTTCGAACTTGATTTTTTCAGATGCATTAATTGTCCATCGAGCGAGCATCATGGAGCATCGATTAGCCATCACGACGTTCTGTGTCGAGATTGATGCCAGTTTCTAATTTATTTGGAAATAACCTCGAATCATGAATCCCCCAGGTCAACCTCCGACGAGCCACGGTGAAATGATGAGCATGATGGGGCACCATGCCACCATGGGAATGAGCCCTCTTCAACCTCATCAGCAACAGACCCATCATCATCAGTCTCCTCATATGGCAAATGCCGGTATTCGTTGTTGTGCTGGCTGCGGAGTAAAAATATTAGATCGTTTTTTGCTTCATGCATTGGACCGTTATTGGCACAATGGTTGTCTCAAGTGTTCTTGCTGTCAAGCGACGCTGGCAGATATAGGAAGTTCGTGTTTTACAAAAGCAGGAATGATATTGTGCAAAACAGATTATATCAGGTATTTCAATATTTTTTATTTGTTTACATTTCTTTAATTTTTCCCGAGATTGATGTATTGCCATGTAGAAGAGACGAAAAAAATTTGCAATAATAATAAAAAAAGAATCCACACGTACACAACACTCTCTAGTCGACTTTAGACAGACCTTATTCAAAGAGATTTCCTTTTTTTTTTCTAATCATATCAGCCATACTTATATGGCATTAAACTGAAGAAGGTTTATCGATTTAGTAAATACTCTTAATTAAGGTTACGTATTAATCATCATTACAGTTTACGCACCGCTACATCACCAATCATTACGACAAGAAAGAATATTCTGTTAAAAATGCATTTGCACAAGGCATTGTTTTGTTAATTTACACAACTCTTCACTTAATCGAAATCTTCCACAACGAAAAATAGATCTAATTCTTCACTAAATGTTTCCTCTCTGATAAACATAATTATTGGCTATTTTGTAATTTATAGTTTTCGCTCCCCCCCCCTTTTTTTTAAATGTTCGCTTTATGATTATTGTTATTAAATCCCGAATTATAATTAGAATAAAGGACGATAAAACTAATTAAAGAAATTCTCGATTAGAAACTATTTGTTGACTGTGTGTGTGTGTATATAGCCTATATAATTTTTTTTAATAATAATAAATTTGTTTGAACTCCTTTAAATGTAAGGAAAGAGGAATTATTTGAAAGTTGTCGCGAGGAAAAGAAGAAAAAAAAAAAGATTTCGTCAATTTAAAATTCGTTCAATTTTTTATTTTTTTAACCCAAGGAAAGATCAGAACCATTTATAAATTTTCTCCCCCCTCTCTAGATATGGCGAATATTGTAAAATTAAATATATTGGTATTTTTATTTTATGTATTCTCTTCTCATTTGAAATTCATATTATCGTATCGATCGTTGAATTTCTTCGGATTGCTTATTTCCTTTAATAAATCTTTAAAATTGCAAAAATGTCAACATAGTCTGCTTAGGAATAGAAATTTCTTTAAATGCTCCGTAGCTATCATTTGTTACCTTTTAATATTGTATAAAGAAGGGAATGTCTCTCTCTCTCTCTCTCTCTTTCTCCCTTTTTTTTTATATTCTTCCTTTTTTTCCATCCTTTCTTAGTTTAATTTTTAAAGCAGTAGAGCAGGTAGGAAATTTAGATGTTATCCTTCCGTCTTTTATGTAAAAAAATGCAAATTTAGGACAGGAATATTTCCTGTAAGCTTTCGAAATTAGTAAAAGAGAGAGAGTAGCAGAAAACAAAATATATAAAATACAGATATATGTGTGTGTGTGTGTATATATATATATATATTCCTGGAAAAGTGAGTAGATGTATGTGTTGCAATTATTAACAATAGCAGAATGAATGTTTGTTTTCTGTTCAGTTTTAGTTATTTTGAATCCCTTTCCTGCCTTGACCAAATTTCATCTCATTACAAGCAAGAAGTCCTTTATTGTTGCAACTGTTTATTAATTCAAAAAAAAAGTATTTAATCCTTGAAGTTTCCTTCGAGATTAACTACTTTTCCTAGGAAATTTATGCAGTTTTTAGTCAACGAAACTTTAAATCGAACTAGCCATTCCCTACTATATAATAATGTCCAGTACAAAGAGTTCTCTTGGCAGATATTGACATACTTGCAACTGTTATTAACTCTTAAAAAGTATTTTAATACCTTCAGGTATTATTTTTTTGCAAATTCTCCTGCAAAACTCTTCATTTTTCGCCCGACAATTGTTAATTTATGCGATTTTCTTGGGATGAAATAATTCTTTAACTTCGCATCTTCATCCATTATGGCATCCCGCGTGAGGAGTGTCTCTTTCAGAGATACTAAAATAATTAAAGCATTTGATTAAATCGTGTCCGAAAGACTAGATTTAACTGGCGAGTATGTTATCGAGATGTTTTGTAATTTATGTTAAAGTTTCTCCAGGGGGGTAGGCATCGCCTGCACGGTAATGGATGAAAGGTAACGCTCGAAAACAACGTAATATCGGGACAGACTGGCTTGGATCGTTTTTAATAAAAACGATCTAAGGCAAAACGAGTAAATCGATGAGGGGGGTTAAGTAATTTTGATTGTTTCGCATGGCGCCATCTATTATTAATTCTACCAACCCATTCCGTCCTTTATTATTATTATGCTAGCACACCTAACATTAAATTCCAGCGCATATTATACCTGTTTACTCGAATCTTTAAAGCGGAAATGTTTCTTAAACCGGATTGGAGGAGGTCACCTGTATCCTGTTGAAGCAGGAGATTAATATCAGACTAATTATATATCGCTGATACATAAGGAAACTTTTAGGTAACCTATTTGAATATTATAATATTCTAGAATATTTTTTGATGCACATTGGATATAAATGTGTATTTCTCTTCTTTTTTTTACTCGGCAGTTCTCATTTGGAAAGTTTAAATACTTTCGAAACTACACCCCCCTTTAAATAATAAAACATATTTTCGTTAATTCGTTGTCCGACGACAAAACTGAGAGAGTAGAAGGTAGATTAATTTAATTATCATGCAAATTAATGTAATTACATCTGAGTTAATTACATTTAATTATTCAAAAGATGCAATTATCCTAATGTGTGCAAATCTAGTCTTGATTAAATCTCTTGTCGAATCGACCCCATTGTGCACAGTTGGTATAATCGACCCAATGTTTCTTTATACAAAATTTATATTAATTTTACCATTTTTAAATCCCAACTTTCCTACTAAAATACTCCAAATGCTCGCTCGAAACAACGATAACAGAGAAAGATTCTTCATTATTAAAATGAATTTTCAACCTTTCTCCTGTTTTTATTTCTATTTCTTATTTATTTATTCATTTTTTTTTGTCTTTATAAAATTTGAATATTCCATTTATATGTTATAAATTTTATTTTAAAATAATCAAATCAAGGATTGGAAATTTTTTTTTAAGTTTACGGGGGGGAAGGAATAAAGAAAGGAGGGGGGAGTCGGTAATGGT